TAGTCTAAAACATGAAGAGGGTATATATCAGTGCTTAGTGAGTGGGAGTCCCCCATCACCACTTTCTGGAACCGAGCCCTGAGGAAAGGCAAGAACCAGCACTGAACTGTGCCGCCCTTGTCGATCGTTCTAGGAGGATACCTTAGTCAATGGTTCAGAACACTGTTAACCAACAAAGATATGCTCCTGTGGTCTAGTTTCAGGCACGGATTGTCTACCAAGAGGACTGTTGCTGCTTTAGTCTCAAAACTATGCCTAAAGTCAGACTGAAATGGGTATAGATAATCCATTTCATCCAAGAATTGTTGGAGCTGAGACACATGCCAAATACCTTGCCTGCAAACTTGTTTGTTGGAAGCGATCCCGTACGGTGGGATCCAAAGAGGGATTTTTCAGTAACGCCCTCACCACAGGCATCTTAAGTCTGAATGGAGCTACACCCTGCTTGAAGTGGCATTCACTATATGCCTGACCTGAAGGGGGAGGGTCAGACACACAAGTGGTTGATCTCATACAGCCAAAGACCTTGTCAACATCCTCAAGTCAGATGAATTGAAATGTATCTAACACAACCTGACAAACACATCCAGGGCATACACTCTTACAAACTGCAATGATTTTGGTATCTTTGAGTGACTTTAACTGTCATGAGTGACTTTAACTGCCCAGTGTCACAATGGGTAGCTAAGTCCTCAACCTCAAGCCCCGTTGATCAATTCTGGGTGGATACAGTGATAGGAGAAAAGGTGGTTGTTGTTTTTCGGACAACATCACCACAGTATAGGACTGAATAGACTCTACCTGGTCTTTTGTTAAATTGTTAAATTCATGCCAAATTTCCTCAGTAGTCATTCTAGTCATTAACCCTACCACTTCATCACTGAAAAGACAAGGATCCATCAGCAGATAAAGGATGCGCATGGGCAATTTTATCAATCATATCTGTAATTTCCCTACCTTGAAACCAACTAGGGCTTCAGCTGAATGATTGGCTGAGACAGTCCTGCAGGACAGACAGCAAAGCATTCAGATTCATTGCTCCAGAGGCAGGCCCTTCAGCCTTGTGGTGGTTAGGAGTTATTGTGAGTCTAATCCAACTAGGTAATGACTAGGAGGCTTCATGCTGTCCCCACCCCACTCCAACAATACCAGTACCCTGAAAGTACCCAGCTTTTCCCACTGGAGAGTGGTGGTACCTGCCTGGACACATTCGGCAAAGGATCTGCAGAGAGAGGCCCCAGATGTGTCAGCTTCCTCGAGAGTGTTGCTGGCCAGCCCCTGTGAAGCCAGATTGCCCCCAGTGTTGCACAGGTGCAAGAAAAGACTAGCAACTGTTGGCCGCCAGAACATCTACCATGTGTAAAAACATTGTAGACTCCCTGACCACGTATGCCATATGCTAAATAAATAAATCCAACAATACTCAGATCAATATATTCCTGCCCAAAACAACCAAGTCTAGAGCATATGCTTTAGGAATGGGAAGGATCCATGGAGGCCAGGAAGGCCTGAGGCATTCCCAGTAAGATGATTCCACGTGGATGTTAAAGTCCCTGGTACCATCAGTCTAGAAGGCCACACCCAAAGCCCACCGAACTTAATTAGGAAGACGGTGAGGCAGAATTCCCTTTCTGTCCTGACCACCCATCCTCAAGAATAACTACTCAAAACTAGTAAATTGCTGCACCAGGCTCCTAGTCAGGGGGTTTGAATCATGATAGACCAGAACCATCCCACCTCCTCACACTTCTGCTGCTGGCGAGGTTCTGAGCATCCCAGGTGAAAGTGCTCAAACTGAATTCACCCTGATCCTTTTCTCAGCACAGACTATGTAATACATACCAGATCAGCTTCCTCAGCCAGTATCACATCTTGGATGGTTGTGATTTTTCCATTTAGTAGCCCAGATTCAAAAGCTCCACCTTCAGACCTGGGATGAGGGGGTAGGATTAGCATGACAATCCACAGGGGCTTTGTTGACAGGGGAACTGGAAGGATGGGAGAACAGCAGTCGGTTGTCTCCTTTTCTCCTGCCTGGCATCACTATTCCGCCCAGGGTGCAGCAGCTCATTCTTGTATTAGCTCCTCCTGCTGCCCTCTGGAAAAGCCCCCTCTCCAAAACCTCAATAATCCATTTCCCCACCCTCAGTATTTGCAAAATAGTACCCCAGTAGATGCCAGGGGGGAAAAAACAATTAACTCACTTTACCAAAAGGATTGCATTCATTTGCACTCACAAAGGGTTTGGGGGTTTGTTTGTTTTGCTTTTTGCATACCTAGGCTAGGTACAAGCTATGTCCCTTGTCCTCATTCCAAGGCTACTGAAGGGAAGTTGGGAAAGGGTGATCCATTTCTTATTAAGGTTTTGGGTGTAAAGAGGCTAGTTTGGACTGCTTCGGTGTTGCCTTTGCCACATAGGCTGATTTACTGGGGCATGTAGCCTGCACTTTGGCAGGTGCTTCCTGCTGAAGGCAGCATGTTTTTTATATTATTGTAATCTTGCTCTTTTATTAGCTTTGGAGCTATGTTTGAAATCCAGCTGACATGACACGTTTTCTTCTTTCGGGAGATTTATGAGTTTGTGTGTTGAGAGCTACCAAAGCCAACTTTAATGTGCCTTTTAAGTGCATTTTGTGTTTTTAATAGTTCAGGAGCCTTTCCTCCTCTCCTACTCTTAGAGGAAAGGGAAAAATAGAACCGATGCAGTGGAACAGCTATGAAAGCACACACATATAATTTTTAGATAAATATACAGTGCCAGACCGGGGCTGTCATTTTGCCCAGGAGGCCAGAAATTACCTGGATTCCAGGCACACCAGCTGCCTTCCCAAGAATGGAGCCATTGGCCGGGCTTTTCATCCCTCATGTCAAAAATAGCTCAGTAACGTGTGCGCACTCATGCACATGAGGGTGTCTGGATAGAAAAATGTGCGCAAGGGCACTGAAGCTGAGCAATCTCCACCAGCCCAGTCAAGTATGGCCATGCTGTTGGAGAAGCCTAAGAAGGATGACTTCCATGGCAAATGCTCAAAGGAAACTGTTTTCTCAGTGCTTCAAGGAAAACTTCTAATATTCCCCCACTTCAGCTATGTAATTGGTGACGGGGCTCACTAACTGTAAAAAGTCACCCTTTCCAAGTCTAGAAGCTAAATATTTCAAAGGTAAAATGTGCTAAAAAGCAAGGCACTCTGGAGAGCACTATAAGAGTCCAGGGCTGGCAGACTTTGCTCTGTGCTTGCACTTCAGGCTAATTGAGCTCCCTTGGAAATTGACTGGGGCAGATAGAAGGAACTTCAGAGGTAACTTTCGAGTGAAGAAGGAGCACACTGAGTCACACAGATAATTTGCATACATTGCTTACACTAGCCTTGGTGCTGTGACCACACAGCTGTTTTTATGTCGTAAACACCACTGTTTTTTAAACCCAAATAAATACCTTGCTATAGGAAAGAGTCTCTTGGGAAATGATGAACATGGAGCATAGCAAAGTAGTAATTTAGGAAGCCAGTAGAGGACAGGAGCCAACAATTCTGACGTGTGTTTGGTTGGATTCATGTCCTATGCCAAAACGCAATTCATTCCCTTCTGGTTGCTTTAGGATTCAAAAGGCAGGCTGAGTGTGGGATAAGGAACTAAGGATGGTTGTATAAAATTAGTATTTTTATTGTTTTAACTGAACCAATTATTGTTTAACCAAGCAGCACTATTTTCTGGGCAAGCCAGCGCAGTCTGATATATCTGCATTAATCTTTGCAAGCAGAACTAAAGAAGCACCATGGTGAATGAGCAGGAAAGGACTGGAATGAAGTGTGCAGAGCTGACTGGGGAGGCAGCACTAGCTCTGATATAGCGCACACAATAGTTCATTTCCAGTACTTGATATGCTCATAGAGAAGTGGTGCTGTGCGATGTGGACACAAGAAGGTGTCCTGCACACACTGTAATTTAGCCTTCAGTATTTCCCGTGCTTATGAATTGCCTTGCTAATCAAATATTCTAAGAAACTGGAAGGAAAGCAGTTCGGCTATGAAGCAAAACGAAGACAGTGAGGAACTCAGGAGAGCAGCATTCAAGTCCTCAATCAGCCGTGAAGCCCCCTGGATGAGTTCGGGCCAGTGACTGACTTTCAGTCTAATCTACTCATAGGATTGGTGTGAGTTTCAAATAGAAAGGAGGAGGATCATAAATGCTTCCTGGGAAGGAAAGCAGTGGGTTATAAAGAGACAACAGAAAAATTAGCAAGTGTCAGTAGTGAACTGTTCAGTGGAAATGACATTTAGTGCAAATATCGCTACATTTCCACTAAGATCCCTTCCATCTTATCAGTAGTATCATTTCTTAATTGCCTTGATGAATAATAAAACAAGATTTACTTCTGAGAGTGAAAGAAAATGCAAAGGTGCAGTGCCAAAGCTCTGCAGGAGTGAATGTCTGATTGGCTGCCACAATTGTGAATGCTCTTCTCTGTGTTTTAACAGTTCCAACTTCAGGAAACAGAGAGAAAATGCAGAAGAAGACTAAGTAAAGCACTCTTGAAGATGTGCTTGTGACCTGTACATTTTACACACACTTCTGGCAGTTTTAGAATTCCAAATTCCCTGTCTGGGATTTATCCACAGAGAAGCCGGGAGTCCTGTTTCTCTGCTTGCTTGTTCCAGTGGAGCAATGCAACTTTGAAGAGTTGGACTAAATATGCACAAGAGAAACGAATCCCTTCTAAAGCTGCTCTGTCCCATTTTTATAGATTTAAATTCTTTTAAATGAGTCCATATTTTAAAGTCCCCACTACTAAGCATTTTGCATGCACCAAAAAGAAAGAAAGAAGTTCATAAGAGAACATTGATTGAATTGGATAATAATCCTTAATGACACATTCCCAGGAGATGTTCGTTCTGTCATGCTATGGTAAAAGGAACAGGAAAGATAATATTGCCACATGTATGCACCCCATTTCCAAATGGCAAGATGCTTAAGGAGCTTTAAGAGATTTCATCACTTACCAAGGTTTCCATTTCCGGAGAAGGAAGTCACTAGAGATGTGTGGCATTCCAGTAACATATGGGGTATTTACACATATATACAGGCTGAAACTGGAAGCAAGAACGATGAAACCAAAGCAGTTGTGTTTCCGGCACATCAGGAGAAGGCAATATTGATTGGAGATGACAGCAATGCTTGGGAACACTGAAAGCAGAAAAAGAAGAGGAAGACCAACTACGACATGGATGGATGACATTCATAAAGAAAGCCACAGGCTTGAGTTTACAAGAGCAGAGCAGGGTTGCCAAGGACAGGACACTTTGGATGGCTTTCATTTCTAGGGTCCCCAAAAGTCAGAGATGACTTGACAGCACATAGCAACAACAGACAGGCTGAGTTCATGGCATTTCCAGGCCCACAGAAGTCGAGGGGACCCCACAGTGCCAAAATGTCTTCTGCAGAGAGCACAGTCAGTTGTCTGCCTCTGTTCCAGTCCTAGCAGAGACTGAGGCCTACCATATGCAGACCTCACTTGCCTCCTCAGCTTCCTTGTGGGGGGAAGAAAGAAGTGTCATCTCTGCCCATCACCAATGCCTTCTTGCAGCATCCCAGAACCCACTAAAACACATCACCAGAATGTCACTGGCTCTTTTTCCCCCCGAGACCTTAAGAAGTATTGCCCCAAAGCATCTACCACACTGATAGCTCTCCTAGAAATCTTCAGAGTCTAGAATCACACAGACAGAATGGATTCTGAAAATCTTTTATGCTCTGGCATACAAGTTCATTCAGATCAACCCCTAACCTATAACAATCTGGACAATGCTTTTCTAACAAAGAGTGAGGGGCTTTATTTATTAAATTATAATAGTCTCATACTTCCTTCAACATCTCAAGGAAGAGACTTGCCTTGAGTTTTCATTAGTAGGCTATTTTATTCAAATGTGATCAGTGAATGAATTAGTTAAATGGTGAGTGATGAATCCACAGAACTGGTTTTGGTTGGCAGACAACAATAAGAAAAACAGATGTTGAGAGAATCTGAGGATATGGTGCACAGCCAGGGATGTTCGCTAATCCTTGCCTGTATTTGGCCCTCCATTTGTGTACATAAAATACGCCTGCTGTTCCCCCCTCCCCCTTGGATTTCCCTACAGGAGGAAGGAGCAAGCAGAGAGGGGCTTAGGTCTCAGCAGTATCCCTTTTCAGTGTGACATGACACACAGTTCACTGCAGTCAACAAGCAATCCTAATGAGAAGAGTTTTGCAGTTGTCGTGCCTGGTGTCAGTTACATGGCTTCTTCAGATAATCCCAGTTCCTACTTCGCAGGGATACTTGCAAAGGACGTTTCCTCACATGTTAAGCAATCCCGAAGGCAACTACAAGACTCCAAGGAAGGATTCGGAAACTAAAGCTCCCCCAAAGATCCAAGCATCTGCCAAACTGTTCAAGGAAGGGCTTCTCCTTGTGCTGTTACTCTTCAACTGCACCCCCACCCAATCCCTCTCCCTCCCTCTCCCTCTCAATGTGTGTGTGTGTTTGGTTTACCTCATTCTATGATCCCTTGCTCTCAGGTGGTTATATTCAATCTTAGTCCGGAAATAAATCTCCTACAGTAAAGCCGCAATACAAATCATACCTCCCTGTTTAACAGTGAATGTGCTTAGAAACTGTAGCTGCACAAAATGTCTGCAAAATCAAGTGACCTGTAGCAAAATCAAGAGACCTGTGTGTGCAAAGTTTATGGGAAAGACCTTGAAAGAGTGCAATTTTGTTCAAAGTTTTATCGACAGTGCTGCTTTAGAAATCACTTCAGGTCTTCTGAAAAATTAAGTGTGTGATGTGCAGGGCAAGGGACCTTCTTAGGACTTCTCAAGGCCAGAAGTTTCCAGCAAATGTGCTTCTCAAGCCGAACTTCATCCAGGGTGCTTATCTCTAGATATGGAAGGAGCCAAGAGATACTCGCATTTTCATTACTTATTCTTTTGACCACCAAGAGCCTTCCTTCTGTCTTCCAAATCTTCCATCAGCTCTTTCCTCCCAAAAGGTAGAAAATAATAACTTAGCTATCAAGATAGCTGCCTTGTTTGCATGAATTGTTCTTAAGGAACATTGATAAGAGTAAGAAGCTTTTAATGGAGCCAACTGATGTCACTCCCCACCTTTCAACCTTTTCATCTGTCAATCAGCTTCTCTTGTGCCAAAGACAGAATCAAGCACAATAATCAGCAAGAGGCTAGCGGTGTTCTTGCTCAGAGTTGGAAGATGGATGGTAAGCTGCTATTAATCCACCATGACTCAGCATAGGATTTTAGATTCCTGATTTTCCAGGGGAATGGTGTTGTGGGGAGCTAGCATGCTCAACCTGTCTCCCTTTCCCCCCCGTACAGTTTCCATACAAGGAGAGCATCTGGAAAGATTGTCTGTGGACAGGTAAGCCTACGCAAAGAAAAGCAACAGTTGAAGAGAATGGATCTGGAGTAAAAAATGACTGTGGAGGAAAGGGTTATGCATCCTCTTCCTCTCCCCACTGATCCGCCCTCACTTTAAATCTGCCTCTCCTTAAGTTGCTGTACTTGAGACCAAAGAAAAGTGGGGAGGGCTTCAGCACAACTTACATTTGTGCTGGTGACCTACAGTTGGCTCTGTGATGCTTTGGGTTACTACCATATCCCTTAAAGTAAAGGTGCAGAACCTAAGGTCTGGGGCTGAATCTGGGCCTCTGCAGGTTCCAGTCCTGCTTTCTTTGGTAAACCCAGAAGGCCGCACTCCTTACCTTTGGTTCCACCACTTTCCTTCAAACCCCAATGGTTCAGTGGTTTCCTGGGGTTTGTGCACCCTCTCCCCATTTTCAAAGTGTGAAATATCCCTCCTATTACAGGAATTAATCTAAAATATGCTGTGTACAAGGCTTATGCTTTTGCCCTTGGACCCACCACTTTTGCCTTTGGCCATATCCACCATTGAAATGTAACCCTTGAGAATTACTCCAAAATGGAATTCAGTGCCTTGGGCAAACAAAGGTTCTGTCCTACTATTTTAAAACAAGTTCTACTTCAAGCCCTCATAGAAATGCAGTAATTTTAAGCATCTGCTTTAGTCACGTGCACTGAAATTCATGATTTCCTGCCCTGGAAGGTAAACAAACAAACACGCAAACCCTGCTGTTTACAGTGACGATCAAAAAGTCAATTGAGGTATTATTGTGTTCTGCTTGCTTGCTTGCTTGCTTGCTTGCTTGCTTGCTTGCTTGCTTGCTTGTAACATTTTTATCCTGACTTCCAGCATAAGCTTCCAAAGGGTACATTCTCTGCCACAGAAGTGTGGTGAGGTGGTGGTGGCCATGGGGTTGTTGCTAAGAGAATGCAACAAAAGGAGATAGATCTCATTGGGTTTCCAAACACAAGTCTGTCAAACTGGGGAAGCCCAACTTAGACCTGCCCCTTTTGTTTTGCTTTCTTAGCAGGGTCAGAGAGCATTCTGTTTGCTTTTTTATAGCTTTTCTCAGGCTTAGCTTCTCCGCTAATGACACAGACAACAATCCTCTCCTCTAATTTGACTTTGGGTTCAGTGCAATTATTTCCTTATAGATCCTTGCCTTTTATTTGCTCATGAGGGAGTTCTCTGTCAGATTTAGGAGTTGCCACAAAGCTGTCCTGGAGATTTTGAGAGCCCCCATTGATTCAGAGTGTGATCCCTGGCTGTGTAGGCTGCAATCTTATCCTCATTCTTTACCCAGTTTTAATTTACTTCTGACACCAGGGGTCTTAAGCTTCTAGGCTTCTCCTCATTGCAGATGCTGACCACTGCATCAACCTTCTCCTGGTTTGCTTGCTTTAATGGAAAAGTGACATCATGGAAAGCAGTTTCCATGGGGACAGACAGTGGTCACTACTGGTTTCCAAGGAATTGCTTCAGATATGTGCTGATGTTAAGGGAATGAAGAATACACACCCGCCAAGTAATTTGTATGCTGTCTAATCATCTTACAAGTTAAACAGTTTACCTTTATTCCCCCGAAATTTTAAGAGCCTAATCAAACTGAGGAGTCTTCAGGCTCAGTGGGAGCAGAAGAGATCCCATCACCCGATGCTCTGCTGGAAGCGATGGTTAATGCCATAGAAGACAGGATCAAGATCCAACATTTTCTTGACGGGCAGGGGCCCTGGGCCAAAACCTAGAAGATGAAATTCAACACGTTAAGGCCTGCATGTAGGGGCAAAGCAAAAAAATCTAAGGTGCTCAAGGCTGGAAGGCAATGGGAACACATGAAAAGTGTGTGAGCTGAATATACATTTGGATACATACTCGCTTTTCATCAGTGTCCTGGGTCATGTGGTGGGCCCTCAGGGACAGAGGAAGCTCTCGCCTTCACAGCATCACCCTCCAAATGTTCAGTGTGACAACAGCAGCAAAGGGGAGGGTGGGGCCAGCATGCTCCCCTTCCCAGCAGGTTTACACCACCTGATTTCCAGCCTGATTTCAAACAGGGCTTATGTTACAGGCAAGCTGATGGTTTGAGGGGTTACTGAATATTTCACCTACTAGTTTGTTGTGACAGTTTCTCTATGCCACTTGAGTTGGTGTCTTTCTAGCCTGAAGTTTATCTATTTCTCTGTTAAAAGATTGCTGTGCTCACTAGCAAAATGTTTCTGGTGTAGATTTCAGCTGTGTAATCAAGTTATTTGCCAACAAAAAGGATGGAAGTTGATCACAAGTTGAATGTTAATACAATCTTAGGCATCAGAACACAAAAGTCAAGGAAGTTGTCCCTGTTCTGAACTGGTCAGACTGGGATTCACATTTTAAGAAAAACACAGGCGAACTAGAGTAAGTCCAGAGAAAGTCACCCAGGATGTTGAAGGTTTTTGAAATGGAGAATAATTCAAAGACTTGGGTCAGTTTAGTCTGAATTAGGGAAGATTTAGGGGGGCATGTGGCTGTTATCTTCAAATATTGGAAGGGCTGTCACGTTGCAAATGAAGCAAACTCTTTTTTTCCTCTTGGTCCGAAGGACTAGAGCTGACTGGAAGAATTATGTTGAGAAAGCACATTTCAGTGAAACACAGGAAAAACTTTGTAATAGTAAAAGCTGTTCAAGAGTGAAACAGATGGCCCTAAGAGGGGGTGGGCTTTTCACTAACAGTATTTAAGTGGAAGCTAAATGGCTAAATGCCAAGGATGCTTTAGCTACTACGATCCCTGCAGTGAGCAGGAGAGTGCAGTAGATGCCCTTCTGAGTTCCTTCTGAGTTCCTGAGGTTCCTTCTGAGTTCCTGAGGTTCCTCTAGAACCTGCAAGTAACTCCCGCATGTTTTCTACAGAAACCTCGTGTATCACAAGGATGTGTCCATTATGAGCGGGTTATACTTTAGAACACATGTAACATTTCCTTCTGGCGACACATTGCAGAAGATCAGGAGGGATGGACAAACTGTCCTCCAGTGGTTCTTTTCACTGAAGGGTTCCAGATAAGCTGCCAAGGAATTCGTAATTCCTGAAAGATGGCTTGAAAACCTCATAGAGCTGTATTGGATGATCCGTGTACGATGGTACTTAGCATCAGAGAGTATGTGATATGTGACATGTCATGGTCTTTCCTATCTGACAGTGTTGGACTGACAGCCATGACATTTGAGAGCTGACAGCCTGAGGCAGGGGCACGCGAGTATTCAGGCCCAAGAGCATATCTAGCAACGGTCCAGGGCCCCACCACAAGGTGGCTGCCACCGGAGACGGAGCCCAAGAGCCCAGTACAAGGCAGAAGTGAGTTTGAACACGCCAAGCAGCTCCTTTCAGTCCTGTTTCCAGCAGCAAGAGGCACTTATTCATAGAAACATAGAAACAGAAACAGAGCGAGTCAGAAGGGGCCTCCCAGGCCATCTAGTCTGACCCCTGGCTCCAGCCGGCTCCACTCACGATATTTCCACCATGTGCATGTCCAGCAATTCTAGCTGCCAATAAGAGAATAGGCTCGTTTTAAGGATGGCAGGAGGGGTAGGTCACCTTTTTGGGTGCCAAGAAAGGTATCCAGGAATGTGCTGGTGTTTGCAGATACCGCAGGCTTTATCTCTGGATTGTGAGATTTAATATTGGAAGCCTGCCGGCAATTCAAAGAAGTTAAATCTTTCTTTACAAAACACTTTCAAAGTGAAAGTTCAAATTTTTATTCGACATTTTCCATTCAATGTTTTGCTGAAAATAGATAATCCAGAGCACAGTCCTGTAGAATAAAAGCTTATTAGATGGAGGACTCTGGTTATGGATGTCTCCATCTATCTTAAGTCTTGCCAGCAAGAGCCAGGCAGGGGAGCAGCAGCAGCAGAGGCTTCAGCAGTCTCTCCACCCCTGAGCCCACTGGCATTTCTTCTCTCCCTATCCTCTTCTGAAGCCACATTATAGATCCTGGGAGAGAAGTCACAGCCGAGCTTTCCAGAGTGCCTGGGAAAGATAGAAACTGAGTGGGATTCCCCCCTCTGAGGCTGTAGTTCTGCCTGTGTATGATATCAGAGGAAGAAATTCCTCACATCCTATGACCTTCAAAGAAACTGTCTAGGAGCCATAGGATGGTTCGGAAAAATTTGCATATTTGCAAATGTTTGCTCTGCATTAATCATTCTTCTTTGACAGATTCTTTTGCACAGCCAGACAAGTAGCAAGCCATCATCCTGGAAACAGTTCTGTTTGTTTTGCTTTGCTCTTTTGCGGTTATAAATTCAATAATCCCATTTTTAAAATGGCAATTTGTATGTAGCCCAAGATAAATTTATCATTTTTATTGCTGACTCCTTCACCTCCCAATCGAGTTTGATGACTGTCTTCTCCTTTTAAACCATGAATATCAAGTCAACTTAAAAACAACATTTGCAGCTGTAAAGGAACAAAATTTGAAATACCTCAGATGCATCCTGAAACACAGACTAAGTCAAAATTCCTTAACATTTGCTTAAAGTTTAGGGACATGATACAATCGGTGAAGAAGGATTGAAACACTAATTCTCAAAACAGTAATTTAAAGATCAACTGCAGGGTTTCCTTTCCTTTTCAATTCTTCTCTCTTTTTCCTGTTGCAGGCATTTCTAAAACTGCATCGAGAAAGCATTTCAGTGCAAAAGGAGGCTGCCTTACACCCACTGTTGCCTGGGCTGCGTTCCAGCAATCGGATCCGTCTGTCACTTAACAACCTTCCTGCTTTCAAGTGATCTCTTCCTCCCTTAAACTTTTACTCCATACCTCAACCCCACTAGTGGTGAAAATAAACTATTGTCTGCATAAACTCAGCCCAGAAGAAGCAAGTGGTGATTGCTTGGAGATTAGACAAATTAAGCTCCATAATATATGGAGGGGATTTACGGTCTTTAATCTCCTTTTCTCCTTACAGTCTCACATTTCTTTCAGGGAGTAGGAATCATGAAAATTCCTACAAATCACTCCAAGCAACAAAGATTTTCTAAGGGGTTGTAAATTATGATAGGAAGCATAACCTTGCAGACCCTTGAGTCCTTGATGGACTATAATCATACCTCCAGCACTTTTCATCTGCTTCCTGCTAATGTAAACACATTAGCCATGTAGCCCTATATTTCTTTGGATATACCAAAAGGATACTTGCTCTCTTTCTCTGAAGACATTTCTTAGCATTGCCATCAATTTTATTTCTATGTCACCCTATAACTGAAGCTCTTATATGCATGACATTAAAAGACTTATACCAACAGGTGAGCACCTCCTATAAGTGAGCTCACTTTACAATAATCACGTGCCTTGAGGAAGGGAAGAAGTATTAGCTGCTTCATAAAATAATGCTTCTTGAGTGTTCCTCAAGCACTCGATGCATCCTTCCCAGCGGTCTTTTACTTTTTGAAGGACTAGCCATTTTAAGATTGTTTCCTTGGGCGTAAGATATAGGTAGTTCAAAGGCATGCTCTATAACCCCTTGTCAGAATGAGGAAATTTCCTCTCTCAACAGGAAGTGAAGGTAGATGGGATGTCCTCCCAGGCAACTGGATGTGCTGGCAGAGCAGGCTGAGACGGCAGCCTCGCTCACCCCCTCCCCTGCCCCAAGCATCTTTCTCCCAGCCTGTCACCCCACCTTCCTTTCCCATTAGAGCCCACAGTAGCCAGTGGCCAAGATGAAATTCTGGGGCCACATCCACAATTAGCTTAAGGTGACTGCCTTTTTGTTCCTCATGTCATGCCACTGCTAGGAGGCAGGGAGTTTATTTGCATAATTTGGCTAATTGGCCATTTACATTGGCACAGCTGGTGGATATGGTGTGGCCCAGAAAGATAGCAGTGTAGCATACTCAGAAGAGGCAGCCAAAGTATCGCCGGGGGAAGGGAGTTAGCCTGTTCACAGGTAGTCAGGGAGACAGGATTACTACAAGAAGCCCCCCTTAAGTTTTTATTTATTTATTTATTTATATTGCGATTTATATCCTGCCCTTTTCCTACAAAGGGCTCAAGGCAGCTTACATCATCTCTCCTCCTCCATCTTATCTCCACAACAACAACAACCCTGTGAGGTAGGTTGGGCTGAGAGTCTGTGACTGGCCCAAAGTCACCCAGTTGGCTCCATGGCTGAGCGGGGACTTGAACCCGGATCGCCTGAGTCCCAGTCCCATGCTCTTAACCACTACGCCACAAGTTCTGCCAGGTTCACCACATGCTGGAGCTATACCAATGGGGACTAATTTCAAGCCCTGGCCTAAACCTCCCCCTGGCCACACTCAAACCACTGACTGTTAGTCATCTCCTATTTCTGTGGGAAATCGTTTTCCCACCTAAAACATTGAAAAGCCCCTCCCTGGGCATAGGAAATGACATGAAAACATCTTCAGTGACAGCATGCTGGCACTTGGGCATTTTTGCTTTTATCTTGTCCCACCTTTTACCTTTGGTTCCACTATATTGGAAGGATTCCCCCCAAGAGCTTCCCCAAAATTGCATCCAGCCTTTGGGTTGAAAGAGATTCCCCAGCCCTGGGCTACATAACCATGGCACAGTGGGGCAGCCAGGGTCACCCAGCAGTCGGCCTCTTTGTGTACTGGTAAGGACAGGTGTCAGCCAGACAAAGCATCTGAAGCAAGGGCAGACTCTCCCATGGCCAAATGCTCTCCCAGTTTGTACCTGAAGAATAATGGCTGGTCCTGCAAATTAGGTAGCAAATTAGGTACCA